GAATGTCGGTGGGTGTCCAAGCAGGATTCAGGTGCTGAAATATAATAGCATCTCGACAGAATGCGGAGTTCACAAATCCGAGAAAACCTTGGCATACAGCCGCTGCTTCACCTGATTGAATAGACACAGCTGAGGTAGTTTAGGAAAGTGTTGCGAATGCTTCCGGAAAGAAACGCAAAACAGCTACCAATTGCTTAACCGACCAGCCACCCAAGGAACGCTAAAAATATCCTGGATTAAATGGCTTGAAGAACTAAGCTTTAGATTCAGATAATTTTTGGCGAGACGCGAACGAGACTGAGAACACTGGAGACTCTGACTGATGTCTCTCTCTTCTGAAAGGAAATGATAAGCAGTCATCGAAACTGATCGATTGATTCACGTATTAACTCACAGGAGAGGTTTGGTTTATAGTCGAACCTCGGTGGAGAATCTAAATACGTCCAAACGGCATAAAGCTGATGATAAGAAAACGACACAGCTAGCATATCACGAAGTTGGAGCAACCAGTCACTTGTCAAACTGAAGTAATCTCCCCTTGCTCCATTCGATCTAAATGAATTCGAAAGTGCTCGTCTACTTAAGGTGACATTTTTGGTTACCCTGTCTCTCTGTATTGTTGTGCTTCACACTGTGCATCACGTTTGTGTGATGATCCTCGTTCTTTCTGCATACTTTGATTAGTAGACTGAGAAAAATAAAATTTATATTGAGCTTCGGTTTCTTCTGCAAAGCAATCACATAACTAAGCTATCAACAATCGCAAATTTCAGAGAAAATCACACTGAAATTCATTACAGTCAAACAGTGATAATCAAAACACAAATTAGGTAAAGAAAGAGGCGATTAGAAACAGAGAAACATTTTTTAAGCGAAACTGTCAGTACCCACAAAGCCGTTTCTTCTTTAGCACAAAATAATAATGTACAGAGAAGATATCGTAGCCCCGGATAGCAAGTAAATAAAGCATTGCAATAAACAAATATAAGCAAAGTAAATGAGCGAAGAAAATGAAAGAAATGAAACATAAAAGCAATGAAATAAAATAAAGAAAATAAATAAAACGAGATTAGTAAATTGCTGAGGATCAAATTTCAACTAGTTAAAAGATCTCGGAAGCTCAGTTATCTTTAAAATGGCTGCACCAAATGCTTAAATGAGGGCAGGTTCGCATATCATGAGACCGGAAGTGGTGTCATCATGGTCAAAGTTTGATCGTCACTTCCTTTCTATCCATATACAGTGCAGACTGTAAACAGCATGCTTCACAGTGGTAGAAACAAATGCACGTTAAAATGCCAAGATATACTGCTTCTGCTGCGTTGAGATAAAGGCAAAGAATATAACTTCGATTACAGAAATGATATTGGATAATACTGTGATCGTAATCGTCATTTTACCTATGTATTAGAAATTCTGGATTTCAGTAATACAAATCGATGGGTGGTTATAATCATATATTGCACTTTAACCTACTTCGATGACAATATTAGTGACATAAGGAAAGGGGAACAGCCGAACAAGCATCCAAGAAGTGAACACTATCTTGATCTTGCAGAAAACAGAAAAAGACAGAATTATTCAAGTCATGTTTCTTTACAGTGATGTCTTGGAAAAAAAAGTCGTCAATTTTTTCTTTTATCGTGAAGTGAATTGGGTTCCAATCGTCAAAACCATTTAGGAAAACTTAAGAAGAGCAAAAGATTGCTGTATTTTAAAAGGAACAAAATGCCATCAATGTACCTGCAATATCAAGATCTGAGATCTAGAAGAGGGATCAAAGGCGATTGTTTAAACGTTATCCATGAAACCTTCACCGTGATAATGCTGATAGGCGATTTAATTGCAACCTCATAAAATTAGTGACAGAACCTGCTGAGTATTTAAAGCAAACTAATTAATTGCATCACCTTAAGAACCATTAAGATTTCTGAAACAAGCATATTTTTTTGTGGTGAACGTTCATTGTATATTCTATGCTCGTATCGTTAAAAAACGGCGTAAAACACGTCTTATTTACATACAGCGCAAAAGATATTTGGTCAGTATGGTGACTGACCAATACCGACTTTTTTGACCTGTCTCACGCGCCTTTCCAAGACAGATTAGTGCTGAAATTTCGTGAATGTGGTTGGTCGTTCGCAGCAGACGATAGCTTCGGAACCAGAAGGCCTGATATACTTATGTCTTTTAATAAAAGGGCCCTTTTCTGACGTGCTGTAACGGGTCTGAGTCTGTTCCAGACTCCATTTGTCTTTTGCCGAAGCTTAGACTCTGGCACAGGATCGGGAATGTTGGAAGCTCTGTCTGACGTGTCTGCCTCCGCAACCCGACAGGAAAAGCGGCGATGGAAGATGAAGAAGATAAAGTTAAAAGGGCCCTGTGTTTATAAGACGTATAAGCTACTGGTACATTCAAGGTAAACCTGTGAAAGTATTATCTTAATAACTTTTAGATTTTCGAAACAGGCAAATCTCTGAGCAGAGGACTTCCGTTTCCATTTCTCCCAAGATAATCGGTCTTCCGAAATCTTTTGTGCAATGCAAATTTAATCTGCTAACCGAAATGTTGTCAGGAAGGCTTTCACAGTTGAAATTAGCCATTTTGAAATAGTCATTTGAGTAAAACGGTTAAGACATTCGAGTTGCTTACGAAGTCTTCTCCAACCTTCACCCAGCAAATCTACAGATTTAGTGAAGGCTTCAGAATGAGATCGATGCGACTGCTCAAATGAAAAAGCGACATAGCGTAAAAAATAAGTCTTAATTTTTGGGTGACTTATACAATCAAATAAAGTTTTATGGTCGCGGGCTCTTTCTGATGGTAAGATCGAGAGGAACTATAAAATAATCAAAGATCTTTGAAGGTCCTATGTATCTTCTTCAGAGAATCGTGCAAATTCTTACTGATATTCAAATGTTTTTAGAAGTCTAAAATATACGCCGCAGTATTCAATCTGAGTTTTTAAATTTGACTGGTAATCGTCTGCTTTACTCAACAGTTTTCGCACATTTGTCAGCAACAATAACAATTAAACAACTGCCAGTCAACCTCGTCCATATTCTTTTCATAGATCATATATAAATGAACAGCAGGTTGGAAACATGCCAATCATACTGTCTCGAATGATGTAACAAACATCAGCAATACTGATATCTTATTTCGTTTTTAAATCACCATCAAAGTGAAAAATAACTTTTCAACAAAAGTAATATAGCTGTCTGTCTTTACCAAAAAGAATTTTAGTCTTAAAACTAACATTAGTCAATGGTCTATTTTCTATTCCTTAAAACTGAATCCTGACAGGTTTTGAATAAGAGAATTTCTGAAGTTGGAAAACAACATAAAAAATGGCTTGTTCATATACAACGCAAAAATTAATATGGCTAATTTGGTGGCCACTACCAACGCTTCGACCACTGATTCACGAGCATTTTTCAAGGTAGAGAGGTTGGTAAAGTTTTGAAGGTTTCTGCTGTTGTCCGCAGCGGTTGGTAGGTTTGGAGCCAAACGGGTGTTCTTACGCTGCTTTTCAATATGAACACCAACGCATGAACGAAATACTGTCTAGTTTCTGCAGTAGACATCAGGCCAAAGCCTATTCCCCTCAGATTTTGAGTACTCCGAAATATGCCCATTAAACTTCTCAGCTTATTTGGGCTTAATATCTCCATACATTCTGGAACAAATGGACCATATAATCTAGAATACCAAATCGACTGTCTGACTTGCAATCTACGATACACTGGCCAGACATAGAGGCCAGTGCGGGTCAGAGTTGTTGAGTACAAGCTAGTCAGCAATCGAGCGGTGGTGGGCCAAAAGTCACTGCGAAATCAGGACAACTTCTGTACCGTTCAACCATCACATTACGACTGGACACTTCATCAATTATGTGACAAGAACCGTGACGCCGAAATCGAACGATTCGAAAAGATCTGATTAGAAGCCTTCCTGATTCCGACCAAAGGGAGGGTTGTGAATCGGACCTGCAGGCTAAAAATAATTAGAAACATAGATCGACCTACAGAAAATATTTGCAAGATCAAAATCATTCTGATCCAACGAAGGGGAACAAGGGGTTATTTAATCAAAATCTGTCGTAAATGATGAGTGCGAGACTGCAGACCCTCAAGACCTAGCATTCTGATTCGAGCTAATAATGGTAATTCAGACGCTTGGTCTTTAATAATAAAGTAAAGGAATTCGTGAGTTTCATTACTTGGCATTTGTTCAAATCTTCGTCTTATTTGCATATTCGAAAGGCGAAGGCTCAGAACCCCGTAGCGGGGGCAATCGAAATCCAGCAAGACAAAAAATCCAAGGTTATTTCAACCATTTGCTGAAAGAAACTGAATTTAGATTACTGGAAAAAAGCCCCGAAAGAGCTGCTCCTGAAATTGGAAATAAATAGCGGATTAATAAGATGGTCGATTAACGGCTAATTCGACTGACATAAATATGATATAATAAAAATGATGTCCTGCTGTAACTTAACCAAATGCGAGTTTATAAATTTAAAGACGTGTTGCGCACAGACTTTAACCTGCTGCCACCTACGCTTTTTGGCAGGTATGTCTGTTAACAATTCCCGTTATCATTAACTAAAGCATTTTACTAAAACTATGAAGTAATCTAAAGCATTTGCTGTAAAGCAAAAATAAGACGCGACATTTTTGGTTCTGAGTACGTTGTAACTGCTCCATGGCTGAAAACACGAAATGTTTCATGCGTTCAACCATGATACAAATAAACTTTATAGGGGAGCACTTAATTTATAAGTGCAAAAACAGAATGATGGACGGTAAAAGCATATCGGACTTACCATCTGGACCATCGGCATAGGACTCAAATATAGGAAGTGTAACACCGGCAACGTTGTCCTTTCGCATTTTTACTTTGATCTGGGCTTTGCTTACGTTCTGCACAACGCCATGGCTGAAATCGCCAGCTGTGAACTTCGCCTCAGCTAAAGAGAAAGAAGCCTCCTTCATCAGCTCGCCCATTAGAACTTTATTCTAAACTAGCGGAAGAAGGAGTGAGGAATTAAGTAAACTAGCCATACCTCAATAATTTTGCCTAAGATCTGCCTGAATCTCATATTCAATGCATCTGCCTTCTTTTTCAACAAACTATGTCCTTTCTGAGCACCTGCAAGGCGAGCTTTCACAACGGCTTGAGCCCTGAAAATGGTAGCATTAGACTTTGAAAACAAAACCTTGATCTTACATTCTTGAAGGAAAGATTGGTATCCTATCTTCCCGAGACATTTCGGCAAGAAAGCGGTTGTTCTTTTGCTAAGTCGAAGATTGAATCCCGATAGTCACTCTGACTGAGTACCGTAATAGCGTGATCGACATGATCTTATTATGTCGCATTTGATTTACAATCTGCAAATAGAATAATCGCCATATTTTGATGTAGTACGGCGTCACGAAGGTTATGTAGTTCTTGAGAAATAAAGCTTTATTTTAGGCTGCAAGAAGAAATAGATTAAAAGTCTGGAATAGTTTTATTTTATACATCTCCTATTTAAAAGACAAAAATTTAACGTTCAGTCGTATCGAACTATAACCAGTAGTTGACAGCAAAAA